TCCCAAATAATTTTTATGATGCATGAATAATTTGAATAATGTAGTTTACCATCTCCTTATTTAGTTTTTTTGGGGGGGAAAATAATAGAATAAGATGCTTAGAATAGAGCAATGCCAGTTTTTTTGGGAAGTGGACCGCTAACGAAAATAATGGGGGAAAAAAAAAGTACTACAAGTTATGACTCTTATGTGCGAGGGCGTGAATTTTTCGTAGAGCAAGTATTTCTGTGTCGCTTGTCCATACTTCACCTTTTTTTCAGTGCATAGTGATATTCAGGGTCCTATTGAAGTTTCAATGTTCACTCTGAACAAATCACGTTGAAAGATCACCAGAGAAACTAACTCCAAAAGAATGACCCCAAAAAAAAAAAAAAATTTGTAACATATCAACGTACAGAGATTACTTTACACAATAATGTTATAAAGTTATCCATCATGATCCCAATTCTCCTTCAAAGTGCCAATCAAAATGTGAAAAGATCATTTCCATATTCCATCCTCTCTTCTGCCGTAACTATTTAAACACTAGTCAGTTTAAAGAGCATCTAGAGTCTAATATGAAAACTAATGCAACATATGGGGCTTATAAACATGCACAAGCACTAACCTGGGTATAATTTAGGGGATTTTTCTGCAGCTCAGTTAAGATGATCTCAATGTCTTGCTTTGAGTCACGTACCAATTGAGCCTTAGCTTTCTCTCCCAAAATAACATACTTTGTCTCTTTATCAGGCCCTATGGCAGTTAACGAAAGTATAATAAAGAGCAAGAAAAATCATTTAAGACCTAGAACACAGAAAACATGTGAAACCAGTGTGTGACTAAAACAGCATAGTTTCATAGCAATAAGTGCAAAGGAAAAAGAAGAAAAATAGATTTCTTTCATGCCAAAACTCCAACTACACAGTTACCTAACAAAAAGAAAATACCAATACCACGGGTTAATAAAAAATAGGGGAGAAGAAAATGCAAGGCACAAACACAAAGACTGATCTTGCTGTGTCAGCTATCCCGATACCCAAAAGCAGCAATCCACTACACAGCACATGGATTGCCATTTTATGAAACATAGTTACAAGATACGACACAACAAGGATACAGGATACATCAATTTTTAAAAAAAAATAAAAGATAAGATACTTATAAGATACAATATACATACATATACATCTAAATATTCAATAAACCATGAAGGGCATATATGATTGGCAAGATCTTTCAGTTATATGGATGACCAAATATAACAATGAAATGGCTTCAAAAATAATTATTATTATTTGCTATAATACTCTAAAAAAGTGATACTGGAAGCCAGTCATTAACCATAAGATATTTTTATATGTAATGATGGAAATAAGTTTATAAGTGGAAGTTGTTGCAGAAATTACCAGAATTTAGTTTGTGCACAGCCCTGCTTATCTTGACAGCGGTAGAATTGATTCCACCACATAGACCTTTGTCGGAAGAAACAGTAATAATAACATTCTTCTTCACATCAACACCTAAACATAGAAAGAGAAGAGGAATGATGAGTGCTGAGGACATAGGGCACAAAAAATGGCTTATATAACCAAATGCAATAGCTAATTCATAAAATTCAAATGTAGTGGCATGTACACGGTACTGCCACATTTGGTAAAAAGCAGCCACTGACAATACACTGGACATTGCAATGTGAGAAAATATGCAGCTTCCAAGAACATTTAGATGTGTTCTGACGTGTGACGAATACAGGACACTATTATGACAATTTTAAACATATCAGTGCTTCATAAACCACACACTGGCATATTGGACGCACTACATGAATGAGTAAAATATTGTATAAGATCAAGAAAAGCAAAAAAGAATAATAAAAACAAATAAAAGTCACGCATTTGGAAAACGTACTGGGAGTGTCACCCAGAAGTGCAGTAAATGGCTGCCATAGGCCACGAGAATTTTCAGCTCTAGTTTGAATAGCACGCAGTTTTGAAGCTGCAACCATCTTCATTGCCTTTGTAATTTTCTGGATATTCTTCACACTCTTCATCCGATTTCTGACTGCAATGTTTCATGAAACCACAAAATATAATGTCCATCTGCCAGGCAGCCTTAAATCTTACAGAAGAAAGCAGGAATGAAACTCTGTAACAGTGCTATTAGACAGCATGCAGAACATAAAATGGATCCTACCTACTTGAGTTGAAATAGAGCGCACTCCCTGGGGGACTTGCTCCCTGTCAACTCAATAAAATTAGATCATTTGGAAACGAACAGGTAGATATGGCATAGATGAGTGCTATAACGAGGAGAAAGAGTCCACTTTTTCCACATGGCGGAAAAGGAGAAAGCATTTTCTTTCAAATACGTGATATTGCTCTCTGAATTGACATGGTGAAACGGTAACTCAAAAGGGCTTCAAGAATTAAGATCCTTTTATCCTATTTTAGGCAATGTAATAGAATTAAAGATAAAAGTGAAAGAGACACCACACACTTATCAGCGTGAAATACAAGCGCAACGAGGACTTGTTCAAGATTAGCCGCATTTTCCAGCAACAGCTAGAATTCTGCAAACTCTGAGCGATCTCAACCTGGTTAAGCCCAGTTTTAACCTTAAACCACAAAATCATTGAGCTTGCCAACATTATGAGAGGCTTTTATTTAACTTTCCAAACTATAAGGGAAATAGAAAAGAGGATTTTTTCCCCCAAGGGCCGCATCTACGTAATGACCCTCCTTCCATTTTCCAATCTTCCTCGGTCATCAAACCAATTGTCAAAAAAATGGGAGAGCGCAGGACACCAGTAGGGCGAGCGAGAGAGAATAGGCAGCAGATTTCAGAGAAAGGATGGGAGATCGTACTCAGAGATGAGGGAAGATCGGAGAGCGGTCAACGGTTGTGGAGAGATGAGAGGGGCTAGACGCCTCCCTTCCCGTCGCAGAGCAGCCATCGCCATTGCCGCCGATTGGTGATCGCGGTGCTGAAACCCTAGCGGGGACTACGTAGATCAAACAGGTGCGAATGGACCAAACCAGCTTGCCGGCGGCGCTTATGTGAGACGTTCAGCGGCTCGCTAGGTTCTGCCCCTTTAGGTGCGCCTAGGGCCTCAGACCTCGCCATACGGATCCGGTAAATTCGTAATGGTTAGCTTTTCAAAAAAATAAAAATAAAAGAGAATTAAAAATAAAAATTTGGTTAACTTCCAAATTTCAAATCAATCTTATTTATTTAGTTCCCTAATATAAAAACTAAATAACCAATTTGAGTATATCAAAAAATTCGGTTAAATTAGTTATTTATAATAAATAGATGTTGTCTTTTTTAAAATGTCCTTTTTAATCAAGTATATTGGTTATAACTACTATTATTACAAATACTACTTTTTTAAAAAATAAATATATATAAGAAACAAAATAGATTAGAATCTTATATATAGAATCAAAATAAAAGTCAAACAAATTTTCATATTAAAAAACAGACATGGTATACATTAATAGTAATTCACAACATTCAACAAACAGATTACAATAAATTTTTGAAATGGTCATGAAAAACCATAATCACGTCTTGCCGCAGAAAAAAAGAACCATAATCATGTCTCCTTTAACAATATTGAATAAAAAAAATCGTAAGAAAATCTCTTAAAAAGGCATTGAAATAACCCAAAATTTTATTTACATAATTTAATTTGTCAAATTTCTAATCAGATCACATGATCCAAAGAGAGATTTTAAAATTTTATGAAATGATTCTAATACCCGTTTTATTAGAAACCAGAAAAGAATTCTAAATTGATATATTTCATTTTGCATTTAATATATTTCAATTTTAAATTAATAATTTTCTATCTCCATAACATGCTTGTAATAAGTCTTTGAATAAAATTTGATCACAATACAACCTTAAAAATTAATAAATTTAATTACATAGTTAACAAATTTTAATTCGAAATTAATAGCTTTATGTCCCCATAACATTTGTAGTAAGCCTTTAAGTAAAACTTGATCACAATACGACTCTGAAAATTAACATATTACATTTCACAGTTAATATATTTCAATTTTAAATTAATAATTTTCTGTCTCTAAAACACACTTGCAATAAGTCTTTGAATAAAAATGATCATGATACAACTTTGAAAATTAACGAGTTCAATTACACAATTAACAAGTTTCTGTTCTAAATTAACAACTTGAAAATAATAGAAAATTCTTATTTCTATAGGTTTCTAATGAAAAAGACATTAGAGTTATTTTATAAAATTTTAAAATTTTCTTTAGATTATGTGACCTAGTTAAGAATTTGATAAATTTAATAACTCAAATAAGAATTTAGGTTATTTAAATGGCTTTTTAAAAGATTTTATCAAAAAAAAATCTTGTGTTGTTACTCCTTTAGTTCTATTTATAAAATAGGGACAAAAAATTTTTTAGTCTTATTTATTAGTCACATTATTAAATTTTTACCATGACTCATTTATTATTTTGTTCATTATTTATTATTATATATTAAAAATGAATAAATTAAAAAATTATATTTTAAAGTAAGGTTAACGCAGTTTGAAGATTTTCTTGATATGTTTGCAACGTACTAAAAGTACTACATAAATAAGGTCTCATTTGATCCTTCAGCCTAGAGGCTATATTTGTTGGTCTCGAATAAGCAGTCCAGACTTTTTTGAAATTCCAAATTGATAGTAAATATTAAAATTAGATGTAATGATGTATTTCTGATAATATATAATAATGCATAATTCATTATGTAGGAAATTATGTATAATTTCATACATTCATCTTATATAGTTAGGAAATTGGAGAAGACTACTATCAATGAGAATTTATGACAGGAAAACTGTACATGATTTAAAAATGTTTGAGTCGATAATTTAATAAAAGAAGAATTACAAACAAATCCCAAATAAAAAATTATTTCCTTGTCCCATTTACAGGCCTAACTTTTCCATTTACATATCAAATTTCTGTATTTACAAATAGCTAGGACTTGTGGATAATTAATTTTCTTATTCAGAACTCGTATAATAGCGGCATTTTGATTTCTCAAACCTCCTGCGAGGCCCTCTAGAAACTGTTTCATTTTTGAGTGCCAGAGCAAAACACTCCTAGTTTACATCCAATGATAGTTATCTCCACTTTCATAGGAAACCACACCTCAATATTTTAGGGGTCATGTCCTAAAATCATACCCAAAAAAGAAGCACAAAAGATGAACCAAACTATCCCCACCTAACAATTTTTTACGTACTTAGTAGAAAGGTTACAGTTCCAAAATATTTACACCAAAAGGATATGACATGCCAATCTGTCATTATAAAGGTTTAGCAGAAGCAGCATCAATGTAAGCAATAGCCTCCGCCTCTGAGAGCTGTCCTCCTTCTACTAAGCCTCTAATTAAGGTGTTGGCATAAGCTTTATTAGGGGCACGCAAAGGAAGCCTCCCAGATTTGAAGCTTTCAATATTAGAAAGTGAACATCTGTTTGAAATCAAATCAAAGGTAATATAAATATCAAGTTAAAGTCAAAATGGATCAGTGATAAGTCACCAGTGTGTGATTACTCACGTCACGGTAAGAATTGGAATATTCTGCTCCTTGCCCAAATATACAACATTACCATACCAAGCACCCTGCACCCCATTGAGGAGCAATGAATTACAGCAGACATAAACATAATGGCAAAGTCATATCAAAGGAAGGAGATCAAAATAATAAATAAAAAATGCGCCAATATCTGTAATTAAAAAAAAAAAAAAAGGCGCAACCGTCCAAAAGACTACCTCGATAACCTCCAGGGAATCAAATTCCTTGCTAGTGGTAACATTCAGGGCAGTTGCGTCGAACAAGGGAGAACCAATATTCTGACTTCGACCATTTTCCAGAAGTAAAAGATCATTTAACTGCTCCAGTCTGCGATAAACATTGAAGAGAACGTCATATAAGCTCCATTTGATACACACACACACACTCTGTGAGTGTGTGTGTGTGTTTGTGTAAGAAAACCAAAAATCAGATTGGACAATGCCATGCTCCATCATTAAGCTTTGGAGCCGCATACTGTTTCTGCTAACAGGAGATTTGAACAGCAACAAAGAGCTTGGTCAGTTCACTTACGAAATTTTGTACAGGCACATGTAAGTGTTGTCCTCATTGCTCGTTTCGGGATTAAGGAGAGCAAGCGCTCCAGGACCCCATGTATATGAGGAATCACGACCAAAAAAGAGACGGCAAGGGAATGTTTTCCACAGGATCTCCCTCGGTGGCTTTGTGTCCATTGCACCAGAACATTGCATTTGCATGCCTTCCACCTGATTATCATTTCAAAAATCGACATAAAAAGTAGATAACAGATACATAGCTCTCAAATGTTAAAGGATATAGGCTTCAGAACCAGGAAAAGCAAGGGAGGCGGAAATTTTTTTCCTACAAATCACAAAAAACTGATGCTTCATAATATCCTAAAGCGTGGAAATACAAAACTTTGTCTTGTCAGCTCTAAGAAGCACAATCCTTTTCACAAAAAAATGACATTCCAGGCCCTGAATATCTCTCTTAATAGCAATTTAACATTGACCATTCCAGAAAACAATGAGTGGAATCATTAAGATGAATTAAAAGTCTATCATCTGTTTCAGAATTGCATAGATGATAAAATAAATTGGAAGGTCGCATTACCTTTCCGCCCGCTATGTAGCACAGAAATCTTGATTGCCACATATTTAGTCCATATGAGGCATACCATATGAAAATATTCGAGAGTTCTGATCGCCATGAATAAGTAGCAGAAGTTGGTTGATCTGCACAAAGTACAGGGCTTGTCAACTGATGAACACGGGAGAGCGGGGAGGGGAGGTCTCTGATTAATCATAGAGTTTACCACGACTGTCTATATCAACATTCAGCTTGGAAAGGGGCTCTATAACACCCTGAAGTAGCTCTTCCAGATTCTCAGAAATCTTTGGACCCTTATCATCCTCCGTCTCAGATTCAGAGCTTGAGATCAGAGTATGCTATAGCGGCCAATAATTATTGCCACAGATATTTTAGGATAACAGATAATATGTCAGCAAGAAACAGACAAATGATCAGGCAAGGGTGCAAGAAAGACATGCACAACTGTAACAATATAGCAGGACAAAAATGTTCAGCATGGCTTTTTTTTTTTTTTGGGGAACTTTACAGAGAAAGCAGCATTGACAGCTTTACAATGAAAACTCGACTTTTTTTTCTCAAATTACGTATGCCATCAGATGCTGACAAATAAAAAGCCAATACAACTCTTCATCACAAAATGAACTAGGAGATATTTTACAATAATCAACCTTCGCATAAAAGAGAGTCTATTTATATTAATGGTGCCCTTTGTAAAAATATATTACCACACAAGAATGATTAGCACTCAAAACAGTTCTTATTAAAAGTTATTTTTGAATTCTCTAAGATAATTTATCAGCTAAACCAACTACCAAGGAACGGAGCACAAGAATGAAAAAAGGGTTACCGGAGGTGGTGCTATTTGACAAATCAAAGTTTCAGGTAACTTGCTGGCAAGTGTTGGCCAGAATGGACTTAATTGCTGGCGGACCTGCAATGAAATATGCACATACCCTTAGCATAGAAAGAAACCCTTCTACCAATTACTCTTAACCTTTATTGACAAATGAGCTAGAAATAGTAGAGGGAGAGAAATGGAGATTCTAGGAATGACCAGAGGCCTTACAACATTTACATTCTTACCTCAACACAACACCCGAGCTGAGGTGGAGATACTTCTACAGTTCTACCTAACTATGGCTACTCCCAATTTTCTTTTTCCTCACACTTGAAGGAATAATAAGGAGGAAATATTTTTACCGCTTGTATAACATGCCATGTAGACTCAAATGGATAGGCCTCTGAGGATCCTGCAATAGACTTCTCTTCTAGTAAAACTTCCACACAAGCAAGCATTGAATTTGCTATTGAATTAAGATTATATCCTCCTTCTAACACCAGCACAATCCTACCTTGTGCAAAATTCATCAACTGGAATTTACAACAAAGAGAATATGTAACAGTCAATAGTCATAGTGAAGTGAAAAACATAATAAATGTCTTCTCAAATTTGAAAGTTAACAAAATAACATTTAAAAAATAATAATATCAATTAAAGAAAGAATTGCAATTCATGATAGAACAAGGAAAGAGGGCAAACATAAAATTGGAAAAACATAGGTTTACAAAGAAATTGGCGCATTTGCTAGCAAACCTGGTCCTCATTGTAAGCCTTGAGAGGCTTTCATGCGGTTATAATTTCAGATGCCGGTACCAAGAAATTGACAAGATGCAATTGCCCACATATCACAGTAGTTAATTTTAGAAAGGAATAAACATTACAAATGACAATAAACAGACAAAGGAAACGAGTTGATATCTGAAAATTAACCTTTTCCAACATAACTGAATAACCATATGGGGTGACACGACATCCTCCCAAAGGGTCACCGACAGCTGTAACATTAAAATAAGCAATAATATTATGAAAATTTATGGAGGATAAATAATTAGAAAAAGCAATCAAACCACTCCCAGTTGACCTCAGAAAAATATTAAAAACCTACCACACTGAAAACGAACCTAACCTTACATTGTATCAGCAGCAGATGCAAAAATGGTTATTTATACAAAAAATATAGTTATCAGTAAGTACCAAACAGCATTGTCTTAATGAACTGTCATTCATCCCTCAGAATTGATAAGTTCCAGTGTTTCAACACTCCAGGTTACATTGTATCTGCTTGGGTCAGTTGTTTAGAGTCTTGAGACATTTGAAAGGCTCTTATCAGTACATGTTAGCAGCGTTTGGTAGATGAGAATGAAAATGAGACTTAAAATAGAATCTTCGGGCCCTAATCAATGTATCAATATATAATATAGCATTATTCATATGCCAGGTATGGAGGCCGTATTCTGGTTATATTTGATATGGCATGGAAAGTAATGGGGATGCTATTTCATTTGTAAGCTTGCTTGAATGAAAACAACACATTAGTAAAGCTGGACAAATGACTACAATGTCTCTAATTTAAAAAAAAAAAAAAAAGTATCAAAATGTTCACTTTTCAACATTTTGAGTCTATTGAAAAATTTTAAAATAATATTAATTGTTGATAAAAAAAAATATCACAGCTTTTGATGCCTATAAAGCTAGGAATAACATCTTTACTATTACCAACAGTCCCGCAAGCATCAAATTGAATGAGTGAGGAGCAGTATTATATCTGCGTTGCTGAAAGCATTAAAATGAACGAGGGCATGAGGGTATATTTTCATCTCATTCCAAGGAATGAGATTGCATTCCATCATGTTGGCTAAAGAATTAGATTCCCACAGAAATGTGGGGGCGTCCAAACCCACAAAATGGGAATCACTTGTACCAATCACTCAAACTTTCATTCTTATTCCCTTTTCATTCTCATCTACCAAATATAGCACAAGACTTTAATCATTTATCCAACTCCAAAAATAGTCTCAATTCCACACTCATTTTTATCATATGAACTTTATGATCAGGACTAGAAAGTAGCACTATAGCATGAAAAATAAAACATGTATACCACTGCACAACTAATAAATAGCAAACAATAAACATGTAATCGAAGAGAAATCTAAGAGAGGTCACCAGTCCCATCCATGAAATAATTCAAGTACGCATCCAAAGAACACTAATAAAGAGCACATCCCAAACGGGGCCAAGGAAAAAAGATACAAGAGAAAATATCAAATGTTACTTATCCAATGTATACCTGCATCAAATCCAGCAGATACTATAATTATATCCGGATTAAATTCCTTGGCAACAGGGACCAAGATGTGATCCCAAACTGCAAGGTAGTCTGCATCACCACATCGCCCATTTTCCCAAGGCACATTAACATTAAATCCAGCGCCTGGTCCTTCTCCAATCATCGTATAAAAACCATCATCATTTGCTGGATAGAAACTCCCAAATTCATGCCTGCATGAGCCAAAAAGCTTATAAACCTTGGGATGAATTATTGAAGTGATATAACAATGTCTTAAAAAGCCTAAACTGAAAAATACTTCTCAAAGACCCAGACCCCATCCTGTCCGCTACAGTTTTAATACACTTGCACATGCATCAACCCACATTTATGGACTCAAAGCACCAGTATAGCATTGGTAGATCCACCAAGTCATCCTATCATGACTAGATTATCGGATCAATGAAACTATAAGTTAACATCTAGGTGTGATTAGCAAAAATCCTAGATGCTCAATAAATATTCATAACTGTACCTATGAACAGAGAAGAATAAAACACGAGAATCATTCCAGAACGTTTTTTGAGTGCCATTTCCATGATGAACATCCCAATCAACAATTAAAATTTTCTTCACACCTAATTCGGGCTGTCATACACAAGACAACATCTGAAATGTGAGGTTAGGAATCCCCAGCAAGTGGCTGATTAAAGGCTTAAAATCAAGTGATAACAGTCGATACCCACTCTTTCATCTAGGAGATAACTTGATGCAACGGCCACATTGTTGAATAGACAGAACCCCATGGCTTCATCATGTTCTGCATGATGCCCTGGAGGCCTGACAATAGCAACAGCAGAATTCAATTCCCCCTTTGCGACTTTCTCAACAACCTAGATTTCAAAATATTTTTAGTTCAGGCTCAAATTCTTTATATGGACAGAGATTGAACAATAGAAAAAAAGAAGAAAAACATGCGCACAAACTCTCATATTTTAACAAATTAGCTTGGATCTCATATGCTACATTAAGTTTAAGAAATATGCCATACCGTTCGTAACTTACTAATAGTGCAGTTTGTGAGGGTTTTATTAGATATAGATGTAGAAGTTGCTTAAATATTATGCAAGTGCAGTGATTAGTACTAAAATTTACAATCAATTGCACATATGAAGCAAATTAAAACCAAGATAGGAATTTGATTCGGTTCAAAAGTTTACATCTTTTTTTTCCCCCCATGAAAGCTCAGAATCTTATTAAACATAAGTTATTGAAACTAAAGGCTCAGTCTTTGTCTTATTGCTAGAGATGGCAAACATATCAGGCTGGCCCATACAGGCTTGGCCTGTACCGGCTCTATTTATTGCAATAAGTCCAAGGGTGTAATTGATGAAAGACTGATGGGAAACATAATCAGCGTTAGTGTATTCCTATCCTAAAATAACTAGGATTCTTTGTTTTATTTAAATTATGATATTGCATTAGCATATCCAGGTTGTTTGGATTTAATCTAGTTTTAAATTGATCAATCTTTTATTATCTAGATTTAAATAATCCGAAAAAAGTTTCTCATCTTTAGGATTATAGTAGTTTAACTAACATTAGGAATAAGCACCAAGATTATTCATTTTATTGACTTTTTACCCTCACTGTTTTCCATCAAAGCCTTTCTCAGGAAGAAAAGCAATGCAAACTCCCGAAATTTGTACTAGTTTGTTTAAGTCAACTGCATTTTCGCATGGAATAATGTAAGTGATTCGAATCCTCAAACACAATAATAGCATAAAAAACATTGAGGGCAAGAATGAAAGTAATACAGCAGAAGAAAAAAAATACTGTGTCATCATTCCACTCATTGGCCAGGTTACTAGGAAATCGAATCAAATAGAATCATACATAAACATTACCTCAACAACAGAGCCAGCAGCAAGATAAGCAGCTTCTGAAGAACCCTCGTTAAAATAAATAGAACTCAATTTTGATGCAATCCTATTCCTCCGTGAATTAAACTGTTTCGAGCTGATTTTCTTAATCAGTTTTACATGATTTTTTGAATGCACAGACAGTAAATATCTGTCTTCAGCTTCTTTGGCATCCAAAACCACACATCTGGAACAGGGAAAAACACCCAATTTATTGAGACAAAAAAAGAAAATTGAAATTTTAATCTAATAATCCAAATTTCAGCAACGACACCATAAATTAGACAGAAAAGAATGATTATTGCCCAACTCATTGAATTAAGTCTAAATCACAACAGAGCTCAGATAAGGTCCTGCTCATTTCTTTATCGAGCAAGTCATACCCATCCTCCCGCTGTTAAACCAGCAAGTGGATAAACGAAAATATATTACTGTATCTTCCAATTCAAGCCCACACTTCAGCTCGTCAAAAATCACTGATGGCACTAAAAGCCTCCAACATGGGAGCCACGAAATTACCAAAGAAAATGAAAACAGAAATAAAAACGCACAGCATAGTTTATCTTTCTAGAACGCAAAATATGAACAACTCAACAAAGTCTAGAAATTCCTCATTTTCCCGCGGGCATCCCGGAATAGTAGCGTCACACTCAACTTTGAGCTAAACAAAACAACTCACGTCGCTAGGCCAAAAGGAAAGGTGCAAATTTTAAGAAAACGATAAACAACCTTTCAGGAATACCAGCGTTCTGGAGCTTCTTCCAAATAGCCCTAATCCGGTCTGGGTTCTCAGGATGGTAATCATTGTCTGGAGTGTAGTGCTTACACATCCTCTCATCATACAGCAAACCCACGCGCCGTTGACCGTGGCTACCAATACTGTTGCTCTTGCTCTCACTGTCAAGCTCCACTACCGCCGCATCCATGAAATCAAGGCTTCTCCGCCCCTAGCTTGACTCTCTCTGATTCTGTGTGTGAGAAAGAGAGGGAGAGAAAATTGAAGAGAAGTTCGAGTTCGACACAAGGCAAAGGAAGGCCAGAAATTTTGGAGGCTTTTGAATTTGAAATGCAGCTCTTTTTCTGCCCGAGGATTACTTTATCATTTTCTTATCAAGTTTTCCGTGGCAAATTTTTAACAGAAACCACTCAAATTCGGATGCTGCTGTTTACAGAATTTCTATTACTCAGGCCAGTCGTTAGCTCCGCCATAGAATATCTATCTCCGTTACAGCAGTATGTTATAATATAATATTATTTTTCATCTTAAATATAAAAACTAATTAGCTAATTTAAATAGATTAAGAAAATAAATTAAATTAGTTATTTGTATTAAATGGGTCTTGTCTTTTTTAATATATCTTTACTAATTAAACTAAAACTACTATTATTAGAATGATTATCTTAAAAAAATAAATAAATATGAGAGACAAAATAAATTAAAATCTTATATTTAAAATCAAAATAAAAATCAAATAAAATTTTATATTAAGAATTACTATTGTACTATGTTTTAATGTGTATATATACTCTTTTTAAAAAAAAACCGGAATTCATTCCACTTCAAACGACTAAAGTACAAACTCGGTTAGGTTGTTTGGTCAAACTCCATCTCGTCCGCTACTTCCGACCCAGACAAGATTTAATTAGATTTTATATTTAGTATAGAGTATATAAAATGAAGCTTGGTCAGAAATTTTTTTTTTTAAAAAAAAAATCAATCTACAGTACATGCCAATTTGAAAGAGAAAAAAAAATCAACAACTAAAAGATTCTTCCTGTGAATATGACTAAACAACTTTTGGCCGAAAAAAAAGAGAATATGACTAAACAACTTAGCGATATTTGGTGGTTCCTACAAACAATTAGCCTCCTAGCACCAATGATATTCTTAAAAAGGACAAGGTGAATTTACCAACCCAAAATATTTTTTCGGATGCAGGAGTATTACGTGGTACATCGAGGGCTTTGAAGGATTTTTTAAGATGTTTTTAGCGTATATAAATATTTTTTTAGTACATCAATTTAGCACTAGGACCAAAAAAATTATGTACTTTAAAGCACCTAAAAAATATTTTAGAGTATTGGATACATCACAAAATATTTTAAGGTATTAGATGTATTTTAAAAGAAATATTTTGAGATGCTAAATGCATCTTAATCCTTCTTAAAATGATCGTTATCATCACACCCTCTGAAATTAATAGTGGTCAGTGTAAAGACCTTATACTAAGAACGGATGGAGTGTATTAACGAAACATTATTGTTTTTTATTAGAGGATTTTTTTTTTTTGCAGATACTAGAGTTTATTTGCGAGAGTATTTATTATACCAATATATATTATATTGATGATGATAATCTGGGGATAATATAACTAACTTAAATTTTATTATTTTTCATCATTGATACCCGTTGATCAAGATAATAGAAAATTTTTCATCCGCTGTCCAAAAAAGACAACATTTTTCATCATTTGAAAGTCAAAATCTATTATCACTATTTACTCATCAATGTTATATTTAAAAGATTTTTAAATTGAAAGTAAATAATTATAACACTCAAAATAACTAATTAATTGACATTTGATGCGTTATTTTGGATTACTGTTGGCAAAAAAATGAAAAGATACTCCTAACTTTCCGATAGTTTCTAAATACCTCGATGCGCATTCTTCCCTTGACCACGTTAACATTCGTTCGCTCAGGCCGGGCTGTAAAGTCACCCCTCAACTTGATCATGGAAGAAGAAAACTACAAAGCTGAAGTGCGGGGGAAGAAAACAAAATGCAGTTTTGTGCAGCGTTTAATGTCCCTCCTACACTAAACCTTACACACTTTTGTTATGTATTCTGATAGAGCTAAATTTTTATATATTTTATTTTATATTAATTCAGAATTTAAATGATAAATTTGTCTTTAAGTGGTTTTTTTTATATATTATTGGATTAATTGATTGATTTGGGAATTTTCATAAAAATTGGGATTTTTGGATGAAAATATAATTTTTGGTTTCTTATTTTGGGTTTAGAATTAATATTTCCTATTTCTTTAAACTCAATTCTCATATTTTTGGAAAATTGATTTTTGAAAATTTTTTCAACTTCCTACTTTATTTTTGGTGCATATCTAGTACTGCTCTAATCCTAAATATAAAACATATTTTGTCATGTAATTTTTACTACAAAATGGGTCTTATATTTAATTTTGATATGAAATATAACCTACACTAATAGATGCACTTAAATTCTTATAGGTTAAAAAAAACAAAAGAGAAAATCCAATGATGCAAAACTAGTTTTTTTGACTCTCTCTGATTCTGTGTGTGTGAGCAGGAGATGGAGAGAAACTTGAAGAGAAGTTCGAGTTCAAGGGAAGGGAAAGGAAGGCCAGAAATTTTGGAGGCTTTTCAATTTGAAATGCAGCTCTTTTTTTCTAGTCGAGGATTACTTTTTTATTTTCTTATCAAGTTTTCCGTAGCAAAATTTTTTTTGAAGCCACTCAAATTCGGATGTTTGCAGGATTTCCATCACTCAGGCCAGTCGTGGGTTCCTTTCATGGAATTTCCATTTCTATTATATTTTATAATATAATACATCATCTAATTCTTAATATAAGAGTTTATTTAGCTTTTATTTTGATTATAAATATAAGACTTCAATATATTTTATCTCTTATATCTATATTTTTTTTCCAAAATAGTCCTTATAATAATGATAGTTCTAGCTAATATACTTGATTAGCAAAAGTATTTTAAAAAAAATAATACATATTTATTATAAATAACTAATTTAATAATTTTTTAAACTATTTAATTATTCAACTAACTTTTATATTAAAAGATAAAAAGTACACTATTGAACTATGCTTTAATGTAAATAAAAATCAGAATTCATTCCGTTTCAAACAAACAAAGCACAAACAAGTTAAGGCTGTTTGGTCAAGCCCGTCTCTAGGGTTAGGTTGTTCGGTCAAACCCATCTCATCTGCTACTTCCAATTCTAAAGGGGTGTTTGGATGGAAACCAAACCATAGTTTTAGAAATGCTTTTACGGTTTACAAAGTAAATATGTGGATGAGTTTGCCTCGTTTTACGGAAAAGTGCTTCTGAGAAACACTTTTGAGAGTTGCCAAACACCCCCTAAATATAAGTTCAGATTTAATTAGATTTTACATTTAGTATTGAGTATATAAAATGAAGCTTGGTCAAAAATTAAATAGAAAATTCAATATATAGCATATGCCAATTTAAAACAAAAAAACAAAAAAAATCAACAACTAGAAGATTCTTCCTATGAATATGACAAAAGAACTAAGTGACATTTGGCCATTTCTACAACCAGTTAGCCTAGTATCAATAATAATATTCTTAAAAAAGCTAAGGTGCACCTAGCACCTGAAGTATTTTTTTTTAGTGTATCCAATACCCTAAAATATTTTGTTGTGCATTCAACACTATAAAGTATTTTCTTAGGTGCATTCAACATTGTGAAATATTTTTTAATACATCTAGCACCCTAAAATATTCTTTTTGCCTTGGTGCTACATGCACCAAAATATACTTCAGAGTACTGAATGCTCTTTTTTCATCAATTCCTTATTTTTATTCAATTCTGTAAGAGTGAAATCCTTCTGATTCTTAATTTTCATAATATCTAGACTTAGTTCTCCTCTTTGAATAGAGGCTATAGCAATTTTTTTTATATTTTTCAATCTAAGCAGGAGACAATATACTTGGATATTATTCATTATTCTTTCATTTAAGCAATCAGGCCAGTTCAATTGAAAAGGCAAATACCTTCTTTGGAAGCAATTAAGATCAAGAAAACAGCAATAGGAGCTAAATATGCAACAATAATCCAATGGTGCATACCCAGACCAAAACTAAGTTCCTACTCATGACCCACGTAACAAGCTACACCAAGTAAGAAGTATAGAACCATTAGTTCGTAAGGACTGCCATTGTATAACCATTCATCACCACAAAATACTTCAAGATGGTAGATGTATCTAAAAAAAATATTTCGGGATGTTGAATGCACTATAACTCTTGTTAAAATGATTGTTATAATCACACTCTTCCCTTGCTGATGAAATTAATAGTGGTCAATGCAAAGACCTTATAATAAGAGCGGATGGAGTTTTTTTTGGCCAAGAAGAACTGATGGAGTTTATTAACAAAACATTATTATGTTTAATGTTTTGTTAGAGTTTTTTTTTGTTTTCCTGATACTAGAGTTTATTTGTGAGAGTATTTATTATACCAATATATATATATTATGTTGACAATGATAATTTGCGGATAATACAACTAACTTAAATTTTAGGAAAAATTATTCTTTTAATCCTTTAACTTTTAACTCACTTATAAGTCAGTCCCTTAACTATAACTTGCTGCTTCTCAATCCTTCAACTTTTTACTCACTTATAACTTAGTCTCTTATCTTTTTTCTGTTAATAAAGTTTGTCCTTTGCTATCACATTTGTTATCCTATGTAACTGCCACATCGTATCTCACATCCATGTAACTGCCACACTAGATACTATATTAGCATAAGTAAATTTTGTTTTTTTAGAAAAAGACTAATTTAATATTCTTTAATATTATTGAATATCCAAAGTGTGATATGAAGTCATTCAAAAAGGAACTTTGCAAAGAACATCCACTTGTGTGATATGATTAAGAAATATGAATAACACATCAGAATTATTTAACGGTAGGCTTTTAGAAGCTCGAGAGCTTCCAATCATTAGTTCGTTAGAATGGATTCGCATTTACATCATGACAAGATTTCAAGCAAATAAAAGAAAGGCAGAGAAACTTAAAAGTCGTGGAAGTAGTGTATGCCCAAATCCAAAGCAGAGGTTGGATAAAGAAATTCATGAATCACGAAAACAAGTTGCTCGACAAGCAGGAGAATTTGAATTTGAGGTCTCTTGTTACTCACATAAATTTTCAGTTGACCTTGCTTCTAAGACTTGTGCTTGTAGATTGTGAAACTTGACTGAGATACCTTGCAGGTTTGTTACAAATTTTAGAGTTATGTTGGAGTTTTGAATCATAAGTCTATTTTAGATTTTACTAACATTCTACTGATTTTCTATTTCAGGCATGCAGTTAGCTCTATTTATGCAAAATGAGAGGACCCTCATTATTATGTGCATTATTGCTTAAAGATAGATGCTTATATTGAGTGTTACTCTCCCATGATGAAACCAATTAATGGACAAGAAATGTGGGAAGCAACAAATAGGAAGGAGATAGACCCTCCATCTTATCACAGAAGACCAAGAAGACCTCCAAAATTAAGAAGAAGAGCATCCAATGAGCCTTCACAACCTAATAAGATTCGAATGACAAATGCACGGCTTCAGTGTACTTCTTGTAAAAACTATGGGCATAATAGAAAAACATATACTGTTGGAAGAAACTCACAACAAGAGTCTACTAGTACAATACCTCCACCATAAACCTAGCAGGGCAAAAGCAAGTATAAGATGAAGTTGATGTTCTTTGCAAAGTTCCTTTTTGGATGACTTTATATCTTAACATAAGGCTGTGATGTTCTTTGCAAAGTTCCTTTTTAGATGACTTTATATCTTAACATATGGCATAGCCCTTTTTGGATGTATTTGAAATATTATTTTGGACGACATGTCAATATTTTTTTGATGTCAAACTATGGTCCAATTTGATTAATTACAGCCAATGTTTTAGTATTGTCACTGGTATGATACAAATTAGTGCCAAATTGCACTCTATAATTTAGCATCATATTACACAAAAATGGCAGCTTGCTCTATTGTTCACTCATTAATTGTTGCCAGCTTGTTGAGGGTTCGAACCCTAGTATCATACCTGTCTGTATGTGCGTGAATCTATTTAGTCCTATTACATGAAAATGGCAAGGATTGAAGTAAATAGATACTGATATAAGTATGCTAAATTGCTAATTTATTAATTTCCAATAAGGTCTACATGTACAATATAGTACATCTTATCAATTTTACCATCCTAAATAATTGAGTTCTCTGTCTCTAATTCTTGGGTACAAATGGTAGTCTCAAGATCAACTAATTCCTAGTAGACACCTTCAATGCTTCCCACTTCCTCTTTGATCCTCCCCTCTCACTCTTCTTGCTCTTTGATCTTCACCAATGAAACCTCTTCTTGTGAATGCTAAGTAGCTTCAGACAATATGCCAATGATCATTCTTTTGCAAAAGATTTGGAACTTGTCCTATTATATAGAATAAGCAAGATCACAAATTCCGCACAGTCATATAAACAGAGCAACAATTTTATATGAACACTTGTATATGCAAGTATTTCATCTCTTTAGTATAATATTTCATTAGAGAACATCTAGATACCCAAATGTAAAAGCCCGAACAGGTTGTAGTAGCCTCTCGACATAGACCCTTTCCATTTAGAATTGCTTCCTTCAGCTTCCTCAATCTTTAAGGGAAATGAATTGCTTCCTTCACCCATATCAAGAATTAATAAGATATCCTTTGAAATACTATGTGGCTAGAAAAATGGTTCCACACAAACCATACTACAATTCCACTAGCTAATCTCATTTAGATGCAAAAAAACACATTCTAATTGATTCTTAAAAGTCATTACAACAGAAAAAATGAAGTACCCAAATTTTTAAGAGAACAAAGCAAATCTAATTAATGAATCATTCTTGTAGAAGATGCCAAGAAGGAATTTTTAGATCCACTTCCTCCACGCCTTTATCAGTCGAATGAATAGGATGATTTTTAACACCCAAGTGAATAATAGAACCCACAGCTTACTTAACCCAGCTATTGTGAGAAGCCATCAATGGAGAGAAAAGGATGACGTTCTACACAAGTAGACAACCATAAGGAGGCGAACTTTTTTCAACAGTCTAAACAACACGAGACGCAAGGAATGAGGATGTGAGATTTGAAACTCTTTCTAAAAAACAAAATTTACTTATGCTCATATGATATCTGATGTGGTAGTTACATGAAGTGAGATACAATGAGACAGTTACATAGGATAACAAATGTGATAGCAAAAGACAAACTTTATTATCAGAGAAAAGATAAGGGACTGAATTATAAACAAGTAAAAAAATTGAAGGATTGAATCACAGCAAGTCATAGTTGAGGAATTGAGTTATAAATGAGTTAAAAATTGAAGGATTAGAAAAATAGTTTTCCCACAAAAAAATGAAAAGATGCTCCTAACTTTCCGATAGTTTCTAATACATCAATGCACAATCTTCTCCTGACCATGTTAATATTCAGTCGCTGCAGACCAGGTTGTAAAGTCACCCTTCAACTTGATTTAACCATGGGAGAAGAAAACTACAAAGCTGGAGTGCGGGGGAAGAAAACAAAATGCAATTTTGTGCATCGCGTAATGTCCCTTCATTTACAATAAACCTTACACACTGTAGCATTAAGATTGAAATGGTTTTTGAAAACTAATTGACAAACTATGTGATAAATCTGAGCGCTAGCAAGCATTTTCTGTACTTGTTCGTGGGTTAATTCTTGTCTATATCCACCATTCTGAACTTCAGCCTGGGCATTGGACCACAGTGCTACTTCCAGAATACCTCTTCTTTCTCTCTACAAGCTAAAAAGCCATTCAGATTAAAAGCCGTACCTCAAGGTCTACCCTTCATAATAAAACAGGACAGCTTCCGGTGCGACTATCATCTAAATCAGCAGGTTTCTGTACATCTCTTGCATTAGATTTGTTGTATAAGCTAAGGGGGCTTTCTCTGAGCTAATGAGTATCACTACCTGATGACATTTCCATACAAGTCATAAACACTCTTTAACTTCAGACTCGGATGTTGTAAACTTTCTTCCTGGACTGCTTCAAAACCTGGTGGAGCATCCCTTGTGTTCATAATTTTATGATAATCCTGGACTGACTTCAATGGAAATTTGTCAAAAGGAAACTCTACTTTCATATTCTTTCTAAGATCGGCAGACAAAGATGGTTTATCACTAACATTCAAATTCGAACCACTGGAAGTGACTAAGGTCTTCTTATCTTCTGTCTTCTCAGAGGTGTACTGACGTATCGCCCCTTCACCAGAATTAATAGGGAAATTTCCGGGTCTGTCTCTGCGATTCTCAACTGAAGCGATGCTCTCTGACTTCAGACTCGGATGTTTCGAACCATTGAGTTCACGGACTCCTTCAAAACCCGGTGGGGCACACCTTGTGTTCATAATTTTATCATAATCCTGGGTACACTTCAATGGGAATTTGTCAAAAGGAAACTCTGTTTTGATATTCTTTCGAAGATCAGTAGGCAAAGATATTTTATTATCTTTAGCCTTCTCAGAGGTCTTCTGAAGTATTATCCCTTCCCCAGAATTAATAGAGAAATTTCCGGGCTTGTCTTTGCGATTCTGAACAGAGTCAACTCTACCCAACACATCCTGTCCTCCAACCATGTCAATATCCATGTCAACAGCCTCTGTGTCAGTTAACTCTTCAATGGCTCTACCTTCTTTAAGGCGAAAGACACCCCACAGGAAATTCTTAGCATTTAATCTTTCAATACTACCTGTGAACACAATTTCATGACGTCTTTATGAAGAAGTCGAAGGAAGTGCAACAATAGCCAGGCAGGATATTGGGCAGGTAAACAATTACCAAAGCACTCACTCGAAAAGCAGAACGATCAAACAACATTGAATCTAATGTTTAGAAACTGCAGCCTCCATTCTGCAGTTTTCTATCAATAATCCTGAATTTATGAATCTACACGTAGCGCACACATAGAAGCATAGACGTGACAATTATAAAAACAACTAATATATAAAAACGATAACAAAGTACCATACCCTGGGAGTCCTCATTTAGCTGTTTCGAAGTAAACACCAACAACTCCACTCCATCAACAACGCCTCTCAACATAGCGTTTTTGGCATCCAAGAACTCAAATATGTCATTTAAGTCCTGTCTAGACCTACAGTTAATAGTGAATACCAGTATGAGCTACTTGCACACCATATAATTGTATGACTCCAAACCAAGAGGACCATCAGTAAGAGGCAAAAGCTGACCTCTCACAGTTATCTGAAGGAAAAAAGTACAATGCCACGTCTTGAAGTCCCGGACAGTCATTCTGGAACAAATCTATCAAGAAACTGGATATAGGTAGGGGTTGCACCTCAACAACTGAGGGCAGTTTGCATGCATAATAGAATGCTTTACAATGAACAGTGCATGGAGGAAAAGCCTCCAATCCATCATAAAGTTCGCGCAATGCAGCGTTTTGAAATTTAAATCCGCCCCTAGAAAATGGCCAAAAGCACATAGTTTGAAGGTCATTACAACTGTATTCGTGCCACTAAACCAAAATATATGCAGGCTTTACCAAGTAGCAATAATTGACTAGGACATGCTTTGGTCGAGGAGGATCCAGGGAAAGGGAAGGAAGTGAAATTTCAGTTTTGGCATTTTCTTACTTTAGATTTAAATAAACATTTAATATTGAAATTGAAATTTCACATACCGTTCCTAACCCCAATCTCCTCAATCCAAAAATACCACAAGTGAAGGGCAATGATATGCCATGAGATTTGGAACCAAAATACTGCTCCACAAGTGCAAAATTATGTTGTAACACAACCAGTTCTTTGGTAAGCAGTAGGTTTCAATTAAAAGCAAAGCAATTTCTCCACTTCAAAAGCCAGGGAAAGGGGGATAGTCTGTAATTCCCAAGTTCCAGCCAATCACAATAACCTTGCTTTTCTAATGCCAGCAATTGGTTGTTCCATGCAAAATGCATGCATAAGGCCATTTCCTTCAAAGATTCCCTCATATACCTTCCCCACAGCTAATTTCAATTCAATGAGGGGGAAAAAAGGGAATACAAGCATTACAATTATGATTGGTTTGTGTTCCACTGATACATCGTTTTTTTCCGACATAAGTAATATCTGTTATGGGTATGGAAGCACTGAAACTCTCTTGTACACATCCACGTTCATAACTATAGAGGCTTATGTGCATAGGTATGCTTACAGATATACATCTATATAGTCCTTTTAGCCATCTTAAAAGTTAATATCCTACAAGTTATAGATTAAACTGAGAAGTAAATCTAAAAGTTCATTCCTGCCATGGATGGGATTACAAAGTGAACTTTTTTTTTTTCCGGCCAGACAAAGTGAACTTCACTATAAAGGTAAAAGATGAAAGAATAAGTAATAAAGAACATATAAAAGGTTACATACTTCCAGGCAGCATATGAAGAGGGCATGCAGCAGCGATACAGCATAAAATTCATCTGAATGCTCCCCAGGTCTCTCTTATCAACATTAGATCTATCATATTCACCATTAGCACAGACAACACCTGATCACACACCAAAAAGAATATACGCATATATATCAGATGCAGGGATGGAATGAGAGAAGTCGGGTTAAAAACCCACAGTTTGTATGTGACCAAAGCCTTAATTTGTCTTCATTTGCATGATGAGATTTTAAAAGCTAATGCAACAAACTATGGTAGACAAAGTATCCTAGCTTTTCGGAGATGTAGAAGTAACAGACAAGATAGAAATATGCTGTGACAAAGCAATTATTAAGATAAAAATTCTACCTGAATCAACAACAGGCAAAGACTGCCCAACTTGTATAGCTGCACTTGGTTCCTTCTTGTTAGGTGTTTCTACCAGCTGATCCAAGATTTCAGCTGGAACAGGCACAAACCATTCCTTAGTGCATATGAATAAACTTTTCTACGTATAAATGATGAGATGCTAAATTTTAAGTTAACATACTATGGTCAAAAGTGACAAACATGAAGCAAACAAGTAATTTTATATAACTACAGAAATATCGTACAAGGATGAACAAGAGGTGAAAATCTTCCCACTTGTGAAGCTGCACATGGTTCCTTTTCTGTAAGCTTCTCCAACTCCTGATCTAGGGTTTCAGCTGCAGCTAATATACATTGTCCATTAGTAATTGATCTTCCCACACATGCTCCTAATATGGTATACAAATTATTTTGTTCAGAATGCCTGCTTCTGTGGTTACAGAACATAATCACAGGCAACATTTCAAAGGAGTGATACCTTGCAATCAAATCTTCCAGAAGAATGTGTCCACAGCCTTACCTTATTCTATTTAATATCTATATTATTTAGCAATTGTATCCCAATTCATATTCATAGCATAATATATTTCAAAAGGAAGCCACTTGATTTAAATCAGATAAAAGTTGCCCATCTAGCCCAATGCATACCTTCGTGCTTTTTGTAAGCAGTGGACGCATTCTGGTACTACTTGTTATTTATCAAAATCGAGAAACTTGTTTGACACTAGGATATGATCCGCCACCGAATTAGTTTCAAATAATTTACTTAACAATTTGTTTACATCTTTTTATTGAGTGTAACACAGGTCACCTGCTCCCCTAATTATCTGTGAACTATAATTAGTTTGGGGTCATCAAATTACTTCGTATCTCAGCACCAAAGAACCAGAAAGAACGAAGAGACAACATATCTTTGAGCAAGTATGTCACCCAAGAACAATAACTTGTGCAAAGAAATAAGCAAGCAAAACATTTAAGGATAAAATAGCCCATAACTATGACAGATCGGAGATACCTTCAGTGCTAATTGGAAGAGGGCTTGCTTGTGTAGAATACGATGCTTTATCATCACCTTTAAGTGCATTTGCTCTAAAAGTTTCGCCTTTGTTGACCGGTTTGATGAAACTTGAGGAGTGGTCTCTCCAATCACATTCCCTTGACCAGTCTACAGAGATTCCAATAAAGTTAGAATTTAATACCACACACAGCATAAAATTATATTTCCATCAAATGCCTTGCATGCGCAAGTATGTGAAAGTTTTTTTTTTTTTTTTTTTAAGGAGGGGAGGAGGGACTAGATAGACAGAGACGATCGAGGGTGTTACCTTTCGCCAACGAATGACTAGTTTGTTGATTAGTTATTGTAGTCTTTTGAGCTCCACTGTGTCTAGAAAGCTTCCCATGTCCCACAGGTGGTGGGATGGAAGTAGGCTTCACATTCATAGATGAAACCTTTGCACTGATATTTTTTGATTGCCCATACATCTTGTGCATAGAAGAATTCGCAGGAAAAGATTTTGAGGACACTTTACCACCACAAAGTCTAATGGCTTCTTCCTCGGGAATGAATTTCACTTTCCCAGTTCCACCGACTTTTTGGCTTCTAGAACAAGTTTGCAAGCCAGAATTATGCATTTTACATGGACTGGTTGAGTGCATATTCTCATGCTCAGCTATATCAGAAGTATCAAATCCTGGATCTCTTGAGAAATTCTTGTTTTCAGCATATTTTAACGACACTGTATCATTCCCAGAATCGCAAGTTTCACAAATCCAATCATCAGGAACCATTTTAAGAAAAACTTTCATACAGTAACTGCAAACAGAGAGAAATAACATTATTTCAGGATGAGATTTATCTAGCAACACTACAAAAGCATTCATCTAGAAAATTGATTAAATATGTCAAGCATCCCAAGTATTCTTTAGCCCTCTGATTCACATCACAAAAAATTACTGAACAAATAAAAAATAAAACGGTGAAAAAGGCTTTTCTCTTTTCTCTTTTCTTTTCTTTTTTTTTTTTGGGGATAGCATAGCAACAATCAAACATAAAGGCAAGTAAGTGAATTTGATGGATGAACAAGAAGGTCAGGCTTATAAATGAACTAGTTATCTAAATGATACCCCACATTCCCGACAAATTGGATATGTACATTCAAACGGACAAGGGAATTAAGACAAGAAATCATTACACATGTGCACGAGCTACTTTGCATTTGGTGCAAGCAGCAATTACTTCAGGGTAACCAACGTCACCACACACGTCACAAGGTTCAACCTGCAATGAAAATGATCGCCCAAGTTTTTAAAATATCACTTGTACAGAGAAGCCAAGTCTTTCTTGATAGATATTTCAATCTTAAGTATTCATTCATCTTCCTCCCTCCTTTTGAGTAAGTAAAGTCTCTCAACCATAGAAGTTTATATTATGTCATGGGTTAAAACTTACAACCATAAAACAGTTAAGGCAAGACAAATGAGCAGCGTGAAGCCCCTATATGATTTTAAATGAATAAGGTGATATACGAAAGTGATGTTTCTCCTTAGAGTCATAAGCACACAACACATGATCATGCTAGAAGAATTTGGAATGATGTCATTTGTTCTATCATTATTCTTCTATGAAGAGGCAATGCTGATATATGTACCTATAACGAAACCAGATAATTGGTGTAAAGGTTAGAAAAATGTCCCATTCCCCGTCATTGCTTTCTAGCGAACATGCATTTCTGGTTCCTTAATTTTGCTTGAGATTTTACCTTTTTCCTGTAGTTGGTTATAATTTGTCCTCAAAATTAAACTCATCCTTCATCTTCATCCCTTAACTTACATTTCGTTTCAGTTTTATCCATTAATTTTACTTTATATTTCACTTCCATCCTTTAATTCTATTCTTTTCCAATTTAATTCTTCGACTTCCAAAGACTATTCATATGTTTCTTTCCCTCTAGCACCCTCAAATTAAAACGGCTAAACAAAGAAAATCCAATTCCGGCCAAAAAACCCAAAAAGCAAAATGTCCTGTAAGGCTTATTGGTAACTTAATTCTAGTATCATATCACCAGCAACCAGGAAGCCACATAAGACTTTTCCTTTAAACATAGTAGTGTTAGAAATTTAAGGGGGGAAATTGAATGCTCTTTGTAAGGCAAGGGACTATACGAAAATAAAACAAATTTAAATGACCAAAGAAAATAGGAGGTAAAGTTAGGGATTAAATTAGAGATGAAGTTAGGAGACAGAAATATAAATCAAGATAAAATTAGAAGATCGAATTGGGACAAAACGAAATTAAGGGATTAAAGTGAAAATTAAGGCAAGGCTAAGAGATTAAATCTATATTTTACCCAAAATTTTTCTGTTGACCATTGAGGATAGAAAGGATTGGAGCCACTGGATTAAGATTATGCTCATAAATAACATAGGAAAAAAAAGGGCACGACTATAATACTAACAACGGACCAAAATGTTATGAATCTTTTTCTCCGTGAGTTGTTAGCATTGCGATACATCGCAGAAGCGTTGTGCATGTTAATTTATAAATCAATATCGCCTAAAAGCACTAATATTTACAACCGGGCAGCCCTGTTATTATAGCTCCAGGCTCCAGTGACATCTAAGGAAATATATATATATATATATATATATATATATATATATATAACACGTGCAATTTATAAGATCCAGCTCTGTTTTGTCGGTGTGTGTCTAAGCGCATGTATTAAGTCATAATCATATAATTAATCATTAATACATAGACGTAATTTATAAAGACATCAAACCAGCATCGAAACAGTCCTATCAGTTTTTCCCCCCTATCGAGGTTAATGCATTGTTTGCAACTCTGACCTGGCCCACTCAACCTGGATTTCCAGATCTTTCTAAGGTGGAGGTTTGGGATGTGTCGACTCCATTCTATCTACTAACTTTTTTATTTACTCTTTTACTCTCCACCCTAAAAAGATTACGCGCCACATCCATTATGCTAAAATCTTATTCGCATTAAACTTTCAAACAACCTAGTGGTCGCCTCCCTCACCCCATTCCAAATCTTATTTTACACAGACTCGCCTTCAATTCCAAAGGGGACAAATAGCAAGAAGTTCCAGTGATGTTTTAACAGTCACGCTAAACATCAAAACAAACGGTCAACCTCAAGGATCCAAACCAGTAATTTACAGAGGCGCATACCATGACCGAAATGACTGAAAACACGTCGAGAGTTAAAGAGGGGGGAATTCATACAAGAATGTCTCAATAATGTAGGACGAAAACAAACAAGCATGGAGAAAAATGCTGTTGGAGTAGGGTTTTCTGGGGCCTCTTACGCTGTGAGTGTCGCCTTGTTGCTGCATTTCCATGATTGTTGATGGCTTGTTGCTGCAACTTTTTGGAGCTTCTTGTACTGAAAGGAAGGAAAAGCGAAAGGTGGCAATGCATAGAAATGGAAAGACGGACCGACGAAGGAACTGGAGCGGCCCCACTGAGCCAGTCAAGAAAGGGAAAATGACAGAGTGGCGCGATGGAGCGGACGAAAATCCCGTTGATGCACTCATGTACTTGGGTGGGGCCCACCAGATGAAGATAAACGGTGATGATTGGGAGGAGATGAAGCTTGACCTGATGCGCTTTAACGGCTGTGGGCCTGCCCTCCATATTCACATGACAAATGATTGTTTAATCAAATTACAGTAAGCACGCGACCAGCCATAGCCCATAATCATTTGTGGGGAAGCCGTTTCTCCAGTGACCTCCCGTCTGCTCGTGGCGTGGGACGCGGCGGTTGAGGGCTAAAATGGCTTGATTTAACGCCAATCAAAATGTTGTCTCAAACCCACGATTTACTGGGCAAAGCTTTTTTTTTTTTGTCAACATGTTTCATGTAAAAAAAAAAAAACTTTTAAACTGCATTAACTTTTTTTTAAAATATAACAATTTTTTAATTTTACCCTTATTTGATATTGTAAACCTTTTTGAAAAAATAACTATATACACACAACATAAATGAATAATAAAATATACATTCATGCTAAAAATTTAATGAGATGACATATAAATAGAAGCAAAGAAAACTTTTTTCCTGCTTATAAATAGGATTAGAAGAGTATTCTCTTCATTTATCATTCAGAAAATTAGTAAAAAAAAAATCCCTATTTAAAAATTTAATATGGTTAAAAGGACTTGAATTTGAAACACATGCAAGTATAATCTATGAATACAACATATCTTTCACTATGTGTAACATATTTTTCGCTATATGCAAATAACTTCTATATTAATAATTGTTGCACACATCATTTGATGATATGTTGCATACAACGAAAGATATGTTGCACTCACACAGATCATAATTGCACTCGCTCAAACTCAGGTTCTTTTAGCCAATTAAATTTTCAAATAGGGATTTTTTACCAATTTTTTCTTTATCATTTATCTATCTAGCAGAACACATTTTAATGAGAAAATAGAAATATAAATATAATATATGCATCTGAAAATACGTATGTAAATAAATCATAATACCAATGGCTGATAAATAGCTTTTCTTAATTTTATATCATATATAAAATAAGTACAAATAAACAGAAATATAGTTTGTTTGATGGTGGAGAAATGGCGAGAGTGTGCTGTTGTGCGTCAAGAAAATGGCCTTCTATTTTTTTTTCAAAAAAATAGAAAAAAATTATACTAAAATTAAATCAAAACTCATTTAAGGGTATTTAGATTAGTTTTTAGAAATAATTTTACGATATACAAAATAACTATGAGAATGAGTTTTTTTTCAATTTACATGAAAATACTTATTTTTAAGTGATTGTTAAATGATCATTCTCAAAAATTTGTGTATTCAAACGATGAAAGGAAAATTATAAATAAATGCCACAAAAATTTGCATATCTCAAATCAATGATTTGGATTTCAGTAATTCCAAATCAATATAATATATTAAAATAATGTTTTAAAATGTTTATGTTTTTACAACATTGTCCCTTATTTAAAAAAAAAGAAAAAGCCCAACTACCCTTTCAATACCCAAAAAGGATAGCGATCATTTAGCCACCAAGCAACTATGTTAGACGTATGTCATAGATTCGATGCTTTATTCATTTTGCTCCTTCAAATTTAATGGGTACGAGACCATCATTTTGGTCTCCTTCTTGATAGTTAGACTCATAATATCTCCTGATAGCTATAGTAGGCATGATATATTTTGTCCCACATTACAAACTACTCCTCCGATCCTTATTATAAGACCCAATTTGACTTTTTATTTGGTCCTAATTATAAGACCCAAATCATTTTCTCTCTTATATTTATGCATTTTTTTCCAAGATAATCCTTCTAATAATGATAGTTTTAGCCAATATACTTAATTAACAAGGATATTTTAGGAATAACAACACTTATTAATTTCTTTTAAAACCACTTTGGCTTCTATGGATTATGATAGCAGTGGATTCAATGACTAGTTAGGAAATTGATGGAAGAGAAATTAAAGGTAAATTTTAAGAGTTAAAAATTATTTTCATTACTTATATTATTTTTTTGCCGTTACCAAATGTGCAGTTGAAGACAATGTATATAAGATATGGGGACTAAAAACCAATCTAGTAGCTACAATAGCTAGACAAGCATATCACTGCATATACAGGTTCAACTGTTTCAATGAGAAGGTAATAGCAAATTTTCAATTTCATCAATTGAAAAAATAACAGGAAGAATGATTAAAAAAAGCTGAAAATTAGTAAATTTCAAATCAGGTTTGTTAACAACACTTTATTTAATGTTGACAATACTGAATTTGTAAATGATAACAAATTTTTGTTGACATTCTTCATTTGGTATTTATAAATTTTCAACTTCTTTTTTTATGTCATTTTCTTAAAAAAATATTCATCAAATTAAAGCAAATATCAAGGAAAAATTAATCTCTTGGTTCTTGTAGTTTTCGCTCATTTATAACTCAATCCTTATACTTTGACTCGGTGCAACTCAATCCCTATAGTTTTAACTCAGTTGTAAGTTAGTTCTTGAAGTTTGACTCGCTGCAAATCAACCCTTATACTTTTAATCATTTTTTAATTTAGTCCTTCCTTTTATTAGATATATAATTTTATTTTTCAAAAACACAAGGACTAAATTATAAAATGGATAAAACTACAAGGATCGAGTTGCAACGAATTAAACTTCAAGGACTGAGTTACAGCCGAGTCAAAACTATAAGGACTAACAACACTTTATTTAATGTTGATATACTGAATTTGCAAATGATAACAAATTTTTGTTGACATTCTTCATTTGGTATTTATAAATTTTCAACTTCTTTTTTTATGTCATTTTCTTAAAAAAATATTCATCAAATTAAAGCAAATATCAAGGAAAAATTAATCTCTTGGTTCTTGTAGTTTTCACTCATTTATAACTCAATCCTTATACTTTGACTCGGTACAACTCAATCCCTATAGTTTTAACTCAGTTGTAAGTTAGTTCTTGAAGTTTGACTCGCTGCAAATCAACCCTTATACTTTTAATCATTTTTTAATTTAGTCATTCCTTTTATTAGATATATAATTTTATTTTTCAAAAACACAAGGACTAAATTAAAATGGATAAAACTACAACGATCGAGTTGCAACGAATTAAACTTCAAGGACTGAATTACAACCGAGTCAAAACTATAAGGACTGACCTGTATCGACTCAATGTATAAAGACTGAGTTACAACATGTCTAAACTATAAAGACCAAAAAATTAATTTTCCCGAATATCAATTGTTTTCTTTTTTTAATTGCCAAAAATGTGAAAATGAAGAAAAACTTAAATTTTCACTTAGGGAGCTACAGAACAATTTTATGAGATGCTAAGCAACGCCACTGATAGAGTTGAGAAATTAGATGAGTATGAGACAAGACTTTTATAAATTCAGTTGCCCAAACCATCCCAGAGGGATGGTATGAGGATGGGGAAACTCACATCTTTTATTAACCAACTAGAAATTCTTCTCCCGTGCGATGCGCGAATTAGTATATTTAATTAAATTTAAAATTATAATAAATTACATTATTTATTATAGCTCAAGATTTACTTTTTAGAAGAGTATAATCTTTTTATTTATTCAAATAAAACTTGAATCATAGATGCGGAATTTAGGAGAAATCGATAAAAATTTAAATTTATTTATTTATTTTTTCATTTAAAACTCCAATTAACATACTATTTAATTATAATGCTCCACATTTAATGCAATATATTCAAATTCAAATTCAAATATTATTCAAATTTAAACTTAATTATTAATTTTTCTTCATTTAAGCTTCTAATTGAATTTCATTTATTTATAATGTTTCTCATATTCAAATTTCAATTAATATATTATTCAAATCTCATTAATTAAATATATTCGTATCCATTAATGTCATACCCAGCCCATTTTCAAACCAAAAAGGTATTACAAGTTTTTAGGAATATAGTTGATGATTCTTTTTTCCTAATAATTGAATTATCTGACAATAAATTTTTTTTCAAATCGCAAGTCTTTATGGCATCAACAGTCTAGTTAAGGAAGATATAATATTAACAAGAATTATGTCATAACTGGAAGTAGGGCAGAACTCGTGTCAGCAAAAAAGTTAGTTAACCTTTCATCCATAAATTTCCATCAAGTTTAGCTCTATAATACAATTTATATAATGATATACACACTCTTTATATTACTAGGTATAGAGAGGACATGTCAATTGATGACGCTTTGGAGCTTGCCCAAAAAGCAACGCACCAGCCAGTTACTAACGACAGGCAAAATGGGGGAGCTGTCATCCATACATAACATATTTTTATTTTTTTTTATCTGCTCTCAAAATTTTTTACTGACTATAATTATACTATTGTTATAGTTTGCCTCGTGGGACAATGGGAATCAATGGAATTATGGCGCGGTAATATCACGGGTCGTTATAATCCTCACTATAACGAGGAAGCTCATCACTGTAAAGATGAAGATAGCAAAGAGGAATGTCCTCCTGATCCCATGGATGTTGAGGGAGGGAAGGAGGTTGAAGAAGAAGAAGGACTAGTGCCAATGAAATTCAAAGGGATGAAGAGAATAAAGCCTTAAAATTAGCTTATGTTTCAACGATTATGATTACGTTAGTTTTAAATTGAAAACATTTTAAAATTTCATTTTTATACAGTATATTGGTTTGAGATCATTGAAATTGGAATCATTGATTTGGGATATTCAAATTTTAGTGGCATTTATGTGAAATATTTCTTTGATTCATTGAATATGTAAATTTCTTAAAATTATAATAATTTCTCCCTCATCAGTTCCCTAACAATATGATCGTTAAAACTTTAATAC